GGTAGGGCTAACATTCCTCTGAATCAAAGAGCAGACTGGTTATAATCAATTTCTATTTTTAAAACAGAAAGAGCATATAGTCAAATTAGAAAGCCTTCAGAAATAGGCAAATCCCCTTCAGAAAAGAATTAAGTTCTAGACAGAATTCAGTTTATGTAAAGAGATAAAATTTTTTTGTTATTGAATACTTTTGTTTCCAACGAATTCGCTTCACTTAGAATGAAGGGATGCTTTGGAATTTTTTCTTCTGTATGAATTGATTGCTTCACGCCTTCGACTGGCAGCAGTTTACATCTAAACTCTAACACTTGTTTATGGTTTGGTAAGTTATCCGGAGGGGCGGTGATACATTATAAAATATGGTAAATTTCAATCTTAATGAAAGTGATGAAATAAATGTAAATACTGAATTCATCACCCAGATCGAATTTTGATCGTTGTTTTGTTCTACCTTTGTTTATTAATTAATGTTAACTATGCTTAAGTTATTTCTAGCAGTCACTTTTAAGTATCATACTCATTAAATTTTTGTAGCAAGGTCTTTATTATGTATATTTTGTATTTCATAGCTTGTTCTTGTACTTGGCGACTTACACATTCCTCACAGATGTCACAGTTTACCTCTAAAGTTCAAGAAACTTCTCGTTCCTGGCAGAATACAGCATATATTATGCACCGGTAATTTGTGTACGAAAGAATCATATGATTATTTGAAGACTTTAGCAAGTGATGTGCATGTTGTTAGAGGAGACTTTGATGAGGTAATATCGGCTTCTTCATTTATGAGTATGTGCATTATTATTTTTTGTGTTGGTTAAGTAGAGTAACAAATGTCTTAATTGTTGAAGATAACATTTATATCATGGATTAGGAATAGTGGCTTTTAAAATTGTAGATTAATGTGTATTAAAAATAGAAGCATGTTATGTACAATTAGTATTACATAAGGATAAGTTTAATAATAATAATTGTTAATTACGTTTAGGGAAATTTTTCCGTGAAGCTGTTTTCCATGTTCTTTTACGGTTCTGCTAAATGTAAATGAATGTAGACTATTTTTAATGAAAAATATTATGTTCGTGAATAGTTTTACATAAAGAATTTATATTCGCATTGATTGCATGCATGATTTTAAGTTGTGTGTTAAATGCATGATGTTTTTCTCACTAGAAACAGAAATTTTGAATTGTTACATAATGGTTTCTTGTTATTTGATCTTGCTTTAATTGACCATAGTTTGATCAAGATTTTTAGAGGCCTTAAGCTTTTGAAGGATTTTGGGTATATCAGCTTTTTCCCAATTCCTTCTCCTTCGGTCTTGGTTTATCTGCATCATGCCTTCTATGGTAAAACCAAAAATGAGAAATTCCGGTATTTACGTACTATCAATAAGTACATTAGTAGAAGTCTCAAAATTATCAGAATGTGTCTAATTCTGGTAACCTTGCATTATAAACATTCTTCTGGCAACCAAACAGCTGACACAAAGGCACCATTTCTGAATGTGTTCATTTTGTAATATTCCAAAGGTTTTTATAAACAAATTTCTTGCCTTCAATTCAATTTTAAAATACTCACTTGTAGAATTTGTCTGCAATAGAAGAGACTGAGATCAGAATTCTGCAGGAATACAATGTTCTACCTTAAAATTGTTTAATGAAGCAAGGAGGAGATGTATTTGATACATAGTCTATTAACAAAGCCGAAGCTGTGTGTGATGCCGGGTTTGTGCAATTCTCTGATGTTGTTTTAAGTGAAACTACGGATAGGGGGAGAATTTACTGAGTAAAAAATTACAGAACGCGTCCACGAAAAGTAAGAGTATTACATTTATATTTGTATTATAGGATCCTTATTTAACATTAAAAATTTGTGTTTTCTTTTGATATGTTGATAATGTTTGTCAACTTATGATGAATAGAGATAGGAAATTTTCGGTTAGAGTTGACTTTAGGGTACCCCTTGTATTATCACGAAATTGTTGTTTCATTTATCGCCAAGTTGTTGTCTCATTTATGACAACCTGAGTAGTTGAATGCTATGGAAACCCTATTATGACGTAATTGGTTGTGATGAATTTGAATCGTGGGAAAAAATTTTGAAAGTGTGTGTAGGATTTTGGGTAAGGGCTTGTGTGTGATGGATTAGTACGTTGTTATTTTGTGGTTTACATGGTAAATTGGCTGAATATGATGGAAACATTTGTAGGAATTGGAACGAAAGGGAAAAAATCATTAATTGACTGTGTGTAAATGAAGGTTTACATAGTAGCCATTATTAAGTGTCCTGTTTGGAGGAAGAAAATGCGTATGGTCGAACATCGGATATTTTCGAATGGAGAATATTTTTTACTCTTATTTTTGTGAATTTCTGTGGTGACACCAGTATACAGATTCTAGTTCAGATAATTTTTGGACGTGTTTGGATGCTGTTAAGGAACTGTATTTGACTGAAGATGCGTAAATTCGTAAATAAGGTCAGTGGATATTTCCTTTGTGTGGTGCTAAGATAAATTTCCTTTTTTATGTTATTTCATTGTTTAATTTAAAATGTAGTTTATTCAGGTTATATATTTTTTTGTTGTCTGCTCCCTTGACTTTTTAAAGAATATAGTTCTATGTGTACATGAACAAAGTCAAGGGAATGTGCAAAGCCTAGTTTGTGAAATTCTCTGATTTGTTTTAAGTGAAAATGGGTCGATGTGTACATGGATAAAGTCAAGAGAGTGTGCAATTCTGGGATTTTTTTTTTTAAGTGAAAATAGGTCGATGTGTACATGGATACCGAGTTTGTGCAATTTTTTGTCTTGTTATTTTGGCTTTGTGTAATGGCGATTTTTGCCCCCCCCCAAAAACCTCCGCTACGCAAGTCAAAATAACAAGTGAAAGAATTGCACAAACTCGGTATCCATGTACCGCCAAAAATCGTCAAGTTTCGCCAAGGGGTACCCTAAAATATACTTTTAGCAAATTTTCTTAAAGTTTTGAAGATCACCAACTTGCACCTGATAAGTGAAACTTTTACCTTTTCTTGTGTAAAAATTGCCAAATTATATAGTGTAGTATTAATTATATACTTTTGTAACACCTATTGCATGTGTAAAATACTGTCGACCATTTTTGCAAAAACCAAAAAGTGCCTCCAAACAACATGATTTTTCACCAACAGTGAAAAACTGTATATCAAGTACATGGTTGCTACTTTAACTATTTCTGTTTTGCCATTTTGATAAATCATTTTTGTTTCTTTCAGCAACAGTTCTAACGGCTCTTTCTCCTTTTCTACCATAAAATCATAAAAATTTGGGTTAGAGTAGAGAGAAGGGTATCTCTTTATTATCGCAAAGTTGTTGTTTCATTTATCGCCAAGTTGTTTCATTTATGGTAGCCTGAATAGTTGAATGTTATGAAAATCCTATTATTATGTAATTGGTTGCATGATTGCGGTGAATTTGTAAGGGCTTGTTGTGCGTGTTGGTTAAGAAGTACATTGCTTGTTTCTGGTTTAGATGTAAAATGGCTGAATGTGGTAAGATTAATTTAAAGTTTCTGTACAATTTGGAAAGAAAGAAAAAAATAGCATTACTGGACTGGTATGTAAATGAAGGTTTACTTAGTAGCCATTATTGTTTTGTTTATTGGAAGGAAATGCGTATGGTCGGACGATGTGGCACTATGGAGGATATTTTTTACTCTTATTTTGTGAATTTTGTGGCAACGTCAGTATACAAATTCTAGTTCAGATAATTTTAAGAAGTTTTTGGATGCTATTAAGGAATTTTGTTTGACTAAAGACATGTTAATTCATAAATAAGGTAAGCGGATATTTCCTTTGTGTGGTGCAAAGATGAATTTCCTTTTTTATGTTATTTCATTGTTCGATTTAAAATGTAGTTTATTGAGATTATATATTTTTTTGTTACCTGCTCCTTTGACTTTTTAAGTGAATATAGTTCAATGTGTACGTGAACAAAGTCAAGGGAGTGCACAATGCCATCTTTGTGCAATTCTCCAATCTTTTGTTTTTAAGTGAAGATAGGTCGATGTGTACATGGATAACGAGATTGTGCAATTCTTTTTTTTGTTAATTTGGCTTTGTGTAGCAACGATTTTTGGCAAAAAAATCACCGCTGCACAAGCGAAAATAATAAGTCGAAGAATTGCAAAAACTTGGTGTCCATGTACTGCTAAAGGATACCGTAAATAGATTTACTATTTTAAATAGATTTAGGATACCCGTTAATAGATTTACTTTGACTTCTTTTTAAGTGAATAGTGTGTAACAAGTCAAGGGGTCAAAAATTCATGTGTACATAACGAACGTTAGGCATTTTGGCAAAAAATCGAAACTTCGAAGAATACTTGAACTGCTAAGGATACCCGTAGAATATCAGTACAGTGGCGTTTATGTAACATTTTGAAAATTGCGATAAGTGAGTATCCATTCAAAAAGGAACTAGTTGAAGGGTTCCAATATTGCTTTTTAGACTTCACCCAGATTTATTTGCTATTGGTTCAAAGAGCTAACAACTATTGAATGCAGAAAAGAATAATTAGATTTGAGTAACAAGACGGTGATAGATGGAAACAATTATTTAAGAGAAGTTTGCACACACAACCTTTTGTTAACACCGAAGGAAAAAAATTAAAGGACATAACCACATAATAGAATCAATAAAAGCCTTTTCTCAAAATGCAAAATCCAAGTAGGTAGAATACTTCCTGAGCAATGAGGAATTTGTGCAGAGAATAATGAGAGTTTCATCGTAAGAGTACCTGATAGAATGGTAGCCATCCTTTTACTAGCAATCAAGGAAAATATTGAAATGGGATCTGTAATTTTTTTGGACTCGTGCAAGGCATACAAGACTGATGAATTAAGAGCTGCAAATTTAAAAAAATTCGGGATCAGTTACAGTTATAAATTTGTTGACTTGGATACTAGTGCATACACACAGAACATCGAAAGATTATGGGGCCCGACGAAATGGCAATGCAAAAGCATCGCGGAACTGCAAAACAGCACGTAGACCTTGTATTTATGCAAATATATGTGGTGGCGTCTTCATAAAGAAGACATATTTATATTGATTTTGAATGCCATTAGGAAGTTTTGGCCCCCATTATAGTGTTATTCTTTTTAGGTTTTTCATTTAAATAGCTTTTTTGTTGTTGTTGTTAAAATAATTAATTTAAAGTGCCTTTATGTTTAGTTATTTTTGCAACTAAACTGTACCACAAATTTTTTTGATCATATGTTCTGAAACATAAAATTTTTTTTTTTAAATTTTTGTTTTAATTCATATTAAATATGTACTGGTGAACAACATGAAATGATTTGGTGTCAATTTTGCAGTTCGTACCAACTTTTCTGGTAATCCTTATTTAATAATTAAAATTTGTGTGTTTTCTTTTGATATGTTGATAATGTTTCCTGTCTTACGATTAATAGAGATAGTTAGGAAATTTTCTTAAAGTTTTAAAAGTCACCAACTTGCATATGATAAATAACTTTTACCTTTTAACGCCTAAATATATAATCGCCTAATTGCACCTAGGTGGTCATGTTAATACACATGTACTGAAATTCGCTTTGTGGCCTCTTTCCTTGATGCTTTATGTATGTGTTTCTGTTGCTTAATAGTTAATCTAGCTGTGTTTCAAGTATAGTGCTCTAGACCAGAGATTTTTAATAGAATCAATAGGCGATCAATAAACAAATAATCACTGACAATTGACTGACAGAATCAAGATCCCATTGC